TCTCGTGTTTCTCATTCTCTCTCCTCCAGGCATCACAGAGGTGTTGATGTGCCGTCACAGGGCACGAAACGCTCTGGGTCACGTGTTTCTGTCCCAGGTGAGCATCAGCACCACCACCTGTCTACACACACACACACACACACACACAGCCTGAGGCCTCCCGTGTGTCTGCAGATGATGAACCTCGTGTCCTCCCTCGCCAACGACTCGGCTCGCGTGGTCGTCTTCAGGAGTTTGGTTCCAGGTGTTTTCTGTGCAGGTGAGTTTCAGTGTTGTGCCTCAGTTCTTCTTTGTTGGTGCTGTCTGGGTGACGCGTGCTGGGGGGGTCGTAGGTGCAGACCTGAAGGAGAGAGCGCTGATGAACCACGCCGAGTCCGACCGCTTCGTCCACCGCCTGCGCTCGCTCATGACTCAAATCGGTAAGCCGGAGCTCGCGTGATGTAAAAAGTGCACAAAGTTAGTGTGTGCGTAACCCTCTCCCCCCCGCCCCCCCCCACGAAGCGTCTCTGCCGATGCCGACCATCGCCGCCGTGGATGGCGCCGCCCTGGGAGGTGGGCTTGAGTTGGCCCTAGCATGTGACCTCCGCACTGCCGGTAAGTGACCCCTGAATGGGGGAGGGGGGTTTGTTGTCCTCACAGCTGATCCGGTCCTGTCTACCAGAACATGGAGGTAGACCCTGAAGACACATCTGTCCAGCTGTTGATGTCACAGCATCTATTGGTGATGGTTGTGCAGCTCTGTGATTGGCTGACAAGCTCAGTCAGTTTTACACTCGCCCGAAGTTGGCTGGGATGGACTCCAGCCCCCCGCGACCCTGTGTGCAGGATGAGCGGGTTGACGATGGATGGATGGACATTTATCATTTAGCTTTTATCTTTTATCCAGAGTGACTTAAATAACTGCATTCAAGGACCAGAACAACAAGAATTAAGAAATGAACATTTCAAGTGCTGTAAGTAAGAGCTAATAAAGTGCTACCTAGTCCAGATAAAGTGGGTAGAGGTACCAACTGGTCCAGGTGTAGCGCCCCCTAGATGTCTATTTAGAATACAACTAAACAACAGTCAAAGCTTTATGAAGTGATTTGAAGTGTCTTTAGAAGGAAAACACACTTTTAATCGCGCTAAATAAATGAGATTTATTAGTTTGTTTTTGAATCTATCGACAGCCGTAGTAAACATGAATATAATATATCGCAGCACTAAAAACTATCGCGCTCATTTCCATTTATTGTGCGATATAGTCAATATATTGATGATCGACAGGCGTAGCGGGTAGGAGGTCCGACTAGGCTACGGATGTAGACTGGACCTGATCTGTTCACTGCGCGGTACGCAAATATGTTTGGTAACCAGTGAAGGCAGCAGACTGGTAACCAGTGAAGGGAGCAGACTGGTGACCAGTGAAGGCAGCAGACTGGTAACCCAGTGAAGGGAGCAGACTGGTGACCAGTGAAGGGAGCAGACTGGTGACCAGTGAAGGCAGCAGACTGGTAACCAGTGAAGGCAGCAGACTGGTAACCAGTTAAGGGAGCAGACTGGTGACCAGTGAAGGCAGCAGACTGGTGACCAGTGAAGGGAGCAGACTGGTGACCAGTGAAGGGAGCAGACTGGTAACCAGTGAAGGGAGCAGACTGGTGACCAGTGAAGGGAGCAGACTGGTGACCAGTGAAGGCAGCAGACTGGTGACCAGTGAAGGCAGCAGACTGGTGACCAGTGAAGGGAGCAGACTGGTGACCAGTGAAGGGAGCAGACTGGTGACCAGTGAAGGGAGAGGTCTGGGTGGATGCTCTTTGCATGCAGACCTGCTGGTGAGTGAGGGACGTATCTGATGTTCTGCAGCATGTATCTACAGGAACCTGTTGATGCTGTAATGTTGGCAGTGAGGAAAGTTGACTGTTGCAGTCAGGAGGGTCAGGAAGGTGGTGTCCCAGATGAAGAAGCTGTCCTCAGGGTGCAGGTCTCCTATGAGACACCACGTGTCTCCACGTGGTCCTCACCAAAGCCCCGGCTCTCCGCCTGGTGATCAGGGTGAGGATGGAGGGCTTTGCTACGTCAGATGATGAGGTGTCTCCATTGTGGTGGAGAGGGTTTGTCCGGAGAAGAACCCTCCACTCAGGACCAGGCTTTAAGGTCCCCCACCTGAAGAGGAAGCCGAGGGGCAGCAGGGGAGGCTCTCAGGCAAAGAGGGGGGGTAGGAGGAGGGGCAGTCCTCTTCGGGGTGGGGCCCACCAGCATCTCCTCAGGTGGGACGGTCACCAGCAGGTAGGGGGCGGGGCAGGTGAAAGAATTCCTGCAGGCTGGAGGACGACTTCTCCGACGTGGAGAAGATCTCTGGCTCCGCTCGACATGGCAGCAAGAAGGAGACGTCACCCAGCAGGAGGTCTTCAGACTGAGGAGGATCCTCCTCAAACTCAGCAGGGAGGGGGGAGCACTGAGGGGGGGAGCAGCCCACTGGTGGAGAAGGTGGAGGAGTACGGCTGAAGGGGAGTCCAGATGGATTCATTGATTATTCCCGAATGTCGTTTTGCTTTGATTGACCGTTTGTTGAGGAACAATAAAGGATGTTTTAAACTCTCTCTCAGCTCGCTGCGCTCAGATGGGTCTGATTGAGACCACGCGGGGGCTGCTCCCGGGGGCCGGTAAGACACTACCACAGGATCCTGAATCAAAGGCCCTTTTTGGGATCGAGAGGGCGGTTTGACCTTTGACCTCTGGCCTTTAGGAGGAAGTCAGCGTCTCCCGAGGACCGTCGGCCTCTCGCTGGCCAAAGAGCTCATCTTCACAGGTGAGTGTGACCATGTGACAGGAAGTGCTGTGTCACACTGTCCGTCCCTCACTGTTCGTCCCTCCCTGTCCGTCCCTCACTGTCCGTCCCTCAGGAAGGCGTATAGGAGGACAGACGGCGTTGGCGATGGGGCTCGTGAACCGAGCTGTTGAACAGAACGCGAGCGGAGACGCTGCGTACAGGGAGGCGCTCGGCCTGGCCAGAGAGATGCTGCCGCAGGTTAGAGAGGCCTCTTCTTCTTCTTCACTTATCTCCTTGTGCCCCCCCCCCCCCCCCCACCACACACACACACACACACACACACACACAGCTCTCCAGGCTTCTGTCGCTCCATATTTCTTTCACTCCAGCTCAAATGCCCTCAGTAAAGTGAAGAAATGGAGCGCAAATAATCACACACACACACATGTATTTGTGTGTGTGTGTGATTGACAGCTGGAGTTAACAAGCTAGTTTTTCTCTTTTCTGTTGTTTTTGTTTTCTGGAGGAAAAAGTCTTTAATTCGTTCAAATGTTTCATTAATCTTTTCTAAACTTTAAGGACTTTGGATGATTTTGTTACAGTAAAATGGACAACAAGTGTTCAGAATCCTCCTACATGTCCCACAATGCAATACATCCCTGTCTCTTCACCAGGGGCCACTTACAGGAGTTTATGATTTCTTGTCTTCACCTCAGGCTCCAATCGCTGTGCGGCTCTCGAAGGAGGCGATGAACCGCGGCATCGAGGTACCTCATATGTTTACGTATAGATATACGACTATGTTGACATCTACCTACGTGTACACGACTGTATGTTGACATCTACCTACGTGTACACGACTATGTTTACATCTACCTACGTGTACACGACTATGTTTACATCTACCTACGTGTACACGACTGTATGTTTACATCTACCGACGTGTACACGACTGTATGTTTACATCTACCTACGTGTACACGACTATATGTTTACGTCTACCTACGTGTACACGACTATATGTTGACATCTACCTACGTGTACACGACTATATGTTGACATCTACCGACGTGTACACGACTATGTTTACATCTACCGACGTGTACACGACTATGTTGACATCTACCTACGTGTACACGACTGTATGTTGACATCTACCTACGTGTACACGACTATGTTTACATCTACCTACGTGTACACGACTATGTTTACATCTACCTACGTGTACACGACTGTATGTTTACATCTACCTACGTGTACACGACTGTATGTTTACATCTACCTACGTGTACACGACTGTATGTTTACGTCTACCTACGTGTACACGACTATATGTTTACGTCTACCTACGTGTACACGACTATATGTTGACATCTACCTACGTGTACACGACTATATGTTGACATCTACCGACGTGTACACGACTATGTTTACATCTACCGACGTGTACACGACTATGTTTACATCTACCGACGTGTACACGACTATGTTTACATCTACCCGACGTGTACACGACTATATGTTGACATCTACCTACGTGTACCTGACTATGTTTACATCTACCGACGTGTACACGACTATATGTTGACATCTACCTACGTGTACACCACTATATGTTTACATCAACCTACGTGTACACGACTATGTTTACTTCTACCGACGTGTACACGACTATGTTTACATCTACCGACGTGTACACGACTATATGTTGACATCTACCTACGTGTACATACATATGATGACCTTGTCTCCTCAGGTGGACATGAGCTCAGCCATGGCGATAGAGAGGATGTGTTACTCTCGGGTGAGTCTCCTGCTTTTCTCCCCCCCCGTCCCGTCCCCGTCCCTCTGCTTGTCTAACACCCGTCCCGTGTTCTCAGGTCATCCCCACACGGGACCGGCAGGAGGGAATGGCGGCCTTCCTGGAGAAGAGGCCTCCGCGCTACACGGGGGAATAGTGGGCGTCACTACAAGCAGCGTTTCTTTTACCTTTTGCCTCAAAGTCTCGCTAAATGTTCATGTGCGCTTTGGATTAAAAAGATGACACATGCACGTGACCTCTCCAGTTTTGGGAATGCTTTTTATTTTAGACAGCAACAGGACACTCGTAACACACTTTACTTCTTCCGTCTTGGATTAAGCAACACGCTGGTCAGATACGGATCCACAACACCAGCATGTGAGTGGAGAATCTCTTCATCACAACTCTCAGATAAACAGCCGTATATATTCTATATTAACATCAGAATCATTCTCTGTAGTCAGTAACTTTGCTCTTGAACCCGGTGCCCCCCCCCGCGGTTGTCAAAGGCATTAGCGTGTAAAATGATTAAACGGAGGATGGCGAAGCCGGAGGCGAGAGTTCAGACTCCATCACGGAGCCATGCGGATAATGAGCGATTCGGCCTTTTCTCTTCGATTTAAAACCCACACAAATAATAAATAGAGTGTGAGTGTATAAAGAAAAGCTAGAATAGTCTCTGTAGTGTTTCCTGAATCCCTCTTTGAGGATTACTTTACTTCCTGAAAGAGAACAAAGTAGAAGACCGATGTGATCCCGACTCAGAGCCTCAGTCACATGATGACAACTCCTCACATGTGCTTACCTCTGGGGGGGGGCGGGCTGCCCCGTGCGGGCCTTGTGGCGCTGCAGACTGTCCAGGATGCCGTGGGCCAGCAGCCGGACGTCTCTGTGGGTCTGCGGGTGGGTGTGGACCCAGCTCCAGCTGCTGCAGGCCGCCCTCCTCCAGCAGCATGCTGCAGTACCGAGCGGCTGCAGGGACACCAGTGTGTGAGCGCAGATACCGGGGGGGGGGGGCACTACTCACACGGGGGGGGTTGTCTCACCGTTCTTGCTGCACACATGCTGCATGGCCCAGGCCGCCCACAGCTGGACGCCGGGGGTGTGAAAGCACTCCAGCAGGGGGAAGAAGGGGTTGAAGGACCTGCAGAGAGAGGAGGACTCCTTCAGTGGTCTTCACCATGTCTCTGGGACAAAGAACGACTATGGGTCCATCCTCGACTCGAAAATGTGAAATATGGGGGTCTACTGGTCGTTCTGCTGTCTGCATCATTCTGGCTTAATCAAAGGCCCCATCGCTATGGAAACGGTTTTACCAGAAAGAAGCTGCGTCTCACCTGTAGGCCACCATTTCACACTCGGGCGCCGGCCACTTCATGATGACATCATGCTAGAGACACACACACAGGGGTCAGACACAGAAGTGGGCGTGTCCACGTCGTGGCAGGTGCTCCGGCGGGTTCCTACCAGCTGCTCCAGCAGGGAGGAGCGAAGCGCTCCGCTCAGAGCCCAGGCCTCCTGTCCTCGGGACGTCAGGTGTGCCAGGATGCCGGCGGCGAAGTAGCTGACCTCCACCTCCGGGCTGTGCAGCAGGGTGCTGATGTGGTCCAGGAAGCCCTGCACCATCAGCTCCACGTGAAGCTCCCCCACTTCAGCGATGTTGTTCTGGGCGGAGTAAGGACGTCTTAGTACGGTCAGTGTAGTCGGGTCCTGCGGAGAGTGATGAGCGAGCAGGGAACTCACCAGCAGCCCGAGGACCTTCTGCTGGATGGACGACTCACTGGGGAAGGACTGCAGAGGGCGACAGAACACCAGAGTCTGCTAATCTGCTCGGGGGGGGGGCTCTCCTGTTCTACACAAGGACATCGTGCTCACCTCCAGGACCTGGATGAACAGGTCCAGGCCCTGGTTCTCGATGAAGTGGCGGCAGGTCGTCGGCGACTCGTCGGTCAGGTTCCAGAGGGCGCTCAGCGTGAACTTGAGGGTGGCGTCCACGAGCCCCTGAGTGGCTTTCTGACGCACAATGTGGAGCAGTTGCTGCCGGGTGAGAGGGGTGAGGGGGGTGAGGGGGGAACACGTTAGCAATGAAAAGGCCAATTGTGTACGAAGAAGTTGGTGCAATCCAAAAGAGAAGCATACCTTCACTATGAAGAGCTCTGCTCCCAGCTGAGCCGTCTGCTCTGTGGACAGCTGAGGGACAAACGTGGTAAACACCCACGAAGAAGAAAGCCTCCGCCCAGCCACGGACGCAGTGCACCACCTACCTTAGCAGCCAGGATGGAGATGATGGCCACGGCCATCCTCTGCATGTTCTGGTCCTCGTGGTTGCAGAGCCACTGCATCACTAGTTTAGCAGCTTCAAACCTGCCACACGGGGGTGGGGGGGCATCTACTCAGAACCATCACTTCATGGGACTTGAAATATACTTTACAAGGATTGTGTACAAAGAAGTTGTTCACCTGTTGAATGGAACCTCCTGCAGAATGCGATCGCTGCACAGAGACAGGAGGCAGTTCTTCTGCAGCTACAGGAGGAAACATCAGGAGTCATTGTGCACACCGGTCTGTAATGATCTCTGCATGCTCACAAAGAGGTCCCTCCCCATGCCGACATTCTGCATGCTAGATCAGTATGGGCCCAATGTGACGGGTTCAAGCTCAAACATCTCAGACTTCTTCCCATCCTGTTGGGGCTCGTCTAGTTGGTTCAGGGCGGTTTGTCTTACGAATGAAGAATAGAAACATTTGGTTGATGGACATTAGTGAATAAAGTCTGTGTCTAAAAACTGTTTTCTGTGCCAATTGCTGATAGAGACCAGGGACAGTGATGGTGCTGGACGTGGTGGAGGTACCTGCTGGTGGTTGGGGAACGTCCTCATGGCCTCCAGCAGCAGCTCCGTGACGGTGCTCAACAGGCGCACCGGCATCCCGGCCGCCAGGTCCTGTTTGGTGAGGTTGAACACACAGGCGCTCGCTGCCAGCTGCACGTTCAGGGTGGAGGGGTGGTTCTTCATCCCCACAACCACCAGCTGGGGGAAGACCGAAGAAGACGAGTTGCTTTGACGCTTCTTACATCATTTTCTTCCCTGTCTGTGGATGAAACACTGTTGAGTCTGAAGTGACTGAGTTGTGTTACTTTGTGTCCTCGAGCATCACTGCTGGTTTGGATTGAAATGCAGCTGATGAATGGAACAGAATGTCCCTCTGTAGCACCGTCGTGGGCGGTGATATTCTATATGTGCATTCTTACTATTGTATGTAGAAGTATTCCTTTCATTAAACACATTAGAGTTGATGGCGTTGGGATGGAGGGTCAGCAGCACCTTGAGGATGTCGGGCCGGTGTTTCTCCATGACATGGGTCAGGCTGAACAGGTGAAACAGAGCTTCTCTCACGAAAACTTCCCGCTCGCTGTAGCGCCGCAGCGCCTCGCAGATCTGGGTCTCGTAGACTTCTCCTGTTACCTGTCACACACACACAGGAGCGGCTTCATGAAGCAAACCTGCGTTTCTATGCACTGCGAGGATAACGTAGCTGCCTACTGCCACCTTCAGGGTTCCTTCTCCGGAGAGGAAGTCAGAAAATCCAGCATCAGTGGCCAGAAGTCCAACAAAGGTCATCCCCGGTCTCTCCTCCACGAACGCCTTGACAGCTGCGTCTGTGACCTGCGACGTTCACACACATTTAGCCTGTGTGCCTTCAGTGACACACACACACACACACACACACACACACACACCTGCTTCCTCCCCGACACATCCAGGGACACCAGAGCGGGCAGGATCCCCGGCTGTCCGAGCAGCTGACGAGCCACGTCGGAGGTGAACTGCTTGTCATCGCTGATGTCCAGGTGCTGCATTGTCCGTGTGAGTAGAGAACACAACAAGTGGGTCTTCTCAGCACGGACCGCTCAGATAGAAGCAGGTCTACTACCGGGCGGCTCACCTGCAGCACGTCCAGCTGGCCTATGACCCCCAGCAGCTGAGCCGTGCTCATCTCCAGCCTCTTGAGCTGGTGCAGAGTGAGCGAGCGCAGCCGCTCCTTCAGGCCCAGCAGGGGGCTCAGGTTGGTCACCGAGGTGTTGGAGAGGTCCAGGCTCTCCAGCCGAGGCAGCGAGCACACGTCTGCCAGCCCGGAGTCGTAGAAGTCCACGTTGGCCAGGGAGAGCGAGCGGAGGCCCCGCAGGAGGCCGAAGCGGTGCCGGGCCGGTTCCTCCAGAGAGGACATGGTGAGGCCTGTCAGGACGAGTCGCTGGAGGGACTTCTGAGGAGGAGACGGACGTTCAACCAGGCTCAATCATCAACATGGAGAAGGCGCTTCAAACTAGCCCCCGGTTACCTGGCAGTACTTGTTGGTGGCCAGCCCCTGTAGGATGTCAGGAATGGTGAGGTCTGCGTTGACCCTGGCGGCGTCCAGCTCCTGCAGCCGGTGAGAGCAGAGGGCCTTCTGGAAGGCCTCGGCGGAGATGCGGGCCGTACGGATGCAGGCGCGCCTCAGCCGCAGGTACTCACAGTTCCGAAACACCCCCACGGTGCTGTCGTTGAGCAGACCTGCAGAGGAACGGGTCCGTTTACCACGGTCGGGCTGGGAGCACAACAAGCAGGGCTCCTCCTGAGGCCTCTCGGTACCCCGGGTCTACCTTCGGTGGCCATCTTGGCCAGCAGCTGGTCCGCCAGCTCTTGGGGGAACAGCACGGCCTCCCGGAAGCACCAGGACCCGTCAGGGAGCTTCACGCAGAACCACTCCAGGTTCAGACTCACGTGGCTCAGACACAGGTCGCTCAGAGCCGGCGGGGACGCGTCATCCTGGAAACAAACGTTTGGATGCTTTTAACGTCCGGCGTTCTCTCACGTGTTGTCATGACGTCATCAAAGGGCAGAAGCACTCACCGTGTTAAGGAAACTACACGCCATCGTCATCAGATGTCTTCAGAACCACAGGAACAAAACCCGAAATAATGCAGACGCAGTTCCCGTCACTAGTGTTCACCCGCCCGACGAGCCGCTAGCTCGGAGCTAGAAGCCAGCTAGCTAGTCAGAAGCTAGTTCGCTAGCTAGCTGGTTCTTAGCTCACTTGGTGTCGTCTCCGTTGAGGGGGGACATGTCGAAAGATGGCAGCTTTGGCGGAATTCATGTTTTAAAAACGCACGTGGACCAGTCCCCGCAGTGCGTGGAGATACGGAAGACGTCGCCAGGGTGGCTGGGCGGTAATACGGCTTCCATCGGCCGCCAATTATCTTTTTATTTTGGAAAAGGTAAACAAAAGGTCACAGCCGTCACAACACCGGAAGTGCATTAGCGAAGAGGGGGCGGGACTACGGAAGCCTGTTATTAAACCCGGAAAAGTCCACGAGCGGGTGACACGCTCGATCATGCTCTTCTGTTCGCTCAGGGAAAGTATTTAATTAGTAATTCTAGTGGTATTTTACTGGTAATCACGTCGACTGTCAATTGTGAATTGTATTCGTTTAAGGGAACGTGTTCGTAACCGCGCTCGTACGCGCCTCACCAAGGTCACGAGCTGCACGTTGGACAACATGGCTGGACTGGTCAACTTTGAAGATGAGAAGGAAGTGAAGCAGTTTTTGGATAATTTGGAAGTAGAGTACAGCTTCCAGTGCTACAAAGAAAACGACCCTGAAGGTAACTTTTATTAGCTTTAAACTCGTTTACTCGAGTGAACGTTGGATTCATTAATACACACGTATAGACAGATGTGTGAGACGCAGATATTTAACACGAGTTAATAATAAACATCAGTACCATGTTAAAGGTGATGTCTATGATGCACACTGTTACTGCTCGGCGTTACCCCTTGAATAGGGTACTAATGTATTGTCCTATGTGGATCCCCATGATGGGAAGTTCTTTGTCTTCTGGAGGCTCCTGATGGAGATGTTCCTGTGAGCCTTGGATGTGTTCCTCATCGTATCTCCATGTTGCTCTCAGGGTGCCAGAGGCTCTCTGACTACTTTGAGGGGGTGAAGGAGAACTACGAGTCTGCAGCAAAGGTCCTCAAGCACAACTGTGAAAGCAACGGTTACGGAGAGAGCTGCTATAAACTGGGCGCGTACCACGTCAGCGGCAAAGGTACCAAGCGTGGCTTCATGCGCCCCTCATTCCGTCCTTCCAGCACAGTGAACTCCACGTTAGAGACTCACTCAAGTTACATAGTAGCAAAAAGGTTGTAGGAAAATCAATATGAAACACATGCTTTGTTTGGCTTTCAGTGATCCAGCTGTGATTATCGGCCTGTCGCAGTATGTGATAAAATGACGTCTTTCCGCTGGACACATTTTCTGGAACCCGACGCTTCGCCCGCTCCGTGTCCCTTGCACTTATATTTCTTTTTGTTTCATTTATATAGGATGTATTTTTTCACATTTGGATTCTAATGTCTAACTTCTCTTAAGTCTTTATTCGATGAAATAGCGTACTTTTATTACTATGCTATTATACTGTCATTATGTTCATCAGTGGCATAAAATGGTCTGAAAATTGCAATTATATCGTTTATCGCGATAAATATTGGTGCAATAATCGCACAACAAAATGTGATATCGTGACTGAATGTGATATATGATGTTAGTGGACATAAACAAGTGCTGCTATGTGTGTGAGGAATATCATCTACTGCTGCGCTGCTCTTCAGCTTCACATCCACGTGACGTTCAAATCGCTCCCACCAGGTGGCGTGACGGAGTGTCTGAAGACGGCCTACTCCTGCTTCATGCGCTCCTGCCACTCCACCGGGAAGAAGTCCATCGACGCGTGCCACAACGTCGGCCTGCTGGCCCACGACGGGCGGGCCCACGAGGGGGGGGCGGACGTGGCGGTGGCCCGTCAGTACTACGAGAAGGCCTGTGCCGGCGGCTTTGCCGCCTCCTGCTTCAACCTCAGCGCGTTGTTCATCGAGGGCAACGCCAAGGGCCTGGCCCCGGACATGAAGCAGGCGCTGCGCTACGCCGACAGGGCCTGCGAGCTGGGACACGTGTGGGGCTGCGCCAACGCCAGCCGCATGTACAAGCTCGGGGACGGCACGCCGAAGGACGAGAAGAAGGCCGAGCAGCTGAAGGAGCGGGCCAGGGCGCTGCACGGGCTGCAGAAGGACCGGCAGCTCAAGTTCGGGGAGTGAACGAGACCCTTAAGAGTCGACCTCAGGCGGCGTAAGAGGTTCCATAACAGAAGCACTTCGCCGCGCGGCGCCGTGTCTGTTTGTGTCACGTTCAGGGTTCTGTAGAACACGTGTAATGCCGTTAGAAGGACTGTGATTGGTAGTTAGGGTGTGATGTCATCACGTTGTCGCGTGCATCGACCGTTATCTAAAACTATGTTTCATCATCATTGTGTTTGTTATTACGCAAAATGTTAAATGATCGATCTCAAGCACTTAGTGAAGAAACAAATGTTTTTCCAAACTCGTCAATTTAATTTTGTTATTGGAATAGTTAAACTTAAAGAATTGAGAGTATTCATTATGCAGATTAGTCCCTCGGAGTGTCATATTACAGTCGCTTTGGTACATTTCTCAGATTAGAATTGAAATTCTCTAAACTACCTGTTCAATCTTCACATCATTGTGTCACTTGTGCATCAAAAAAGTAGCTTCTCATTTCTTTGAACAAGTTGCAAATGCTTTGGTGCATCCGTGCAGATGGTCATGATGAGGTCAGATGGTACAATTCTCTGCTGTTTCTACATTGTCATGTTGATCAAAATGTATTATGGTGAATAGTCTCACACTCCTTAACATTTAGGCACTAGCACATCGCAGAAGTCTCTTCATGTAAAATGGTTGTATTTCTATACATTTCCATTGGACTTAAATTGGCAAACTGCTTTCAGGTGAATCTTTCTTTAACGGAGGTGCGTCTCATGAACCATCAAATGCCAAATATATATTATATGTCTGACAAAAGAAGGACCAGGAATTGCACAGAGTCAACAGCCAGAGAGAAGAGGAAGAGGAGTTGGGAGGCAAAACAGAGGAAGAGGCAGAGAATGTTTTTGATGTTTTTTCTCCTGTCAGGTAGCGATGAGCAAACGATGTACGACCATGAAGAAGTGAGTTAGACACAATGGTTAAAATGTGAGACTGATGATTTAAGATGTGTTATTATAAGCGTACTAGCTATTAGATGATATTATTATGCATCCTATATTATGTTTACATGAAGCTTTAAGCCAAAGGTGAGATCATTGAATGTGCTGCAGTATTAATCAGGTCAGCGAGGGATCTCAGATGGAGCCAGGAGGAGTCATGTGAGGCCTTCGAGCTGGATGAGGGGACTTCTCTATTTGGCAAAATAATATTACACTATTTATACTTCATTTCATGTCAAACTATATTGCTTATTACTTCAATTCATTTTGTAGAGCCCCAAATCGCAAATTACAAATTTGCCTCAGAGAGCTTTACAGTCTGTACACATACGACATCCTCTGTCCCCAAACCTTCACATCGCCACAGGAACAACTCCCCAAACAATGTTCTTCTGTTAGTTATTAAATTCTTTATAATTTTACACTCAAGCCAGTTGCTTCTTTATGACTTCTCGTCTCAGAAGGGCCGACGGTAACAGTAATATTCCTTGATGAGAGGTTCAGAACTCCACTTCAGGACCAGGAAACATTTAATGTCGTAATACGTCAGACATACAAGGAATGTAACTTGTGGGCGACTGTGGGTCAGTGGGGGAGCAGGTTGTCCTCCAATCAGAGGGTTGTCGGTTCGATCCCAGGCCCCGCTAACCCGCATGCCGTTGTGTCCTTGGGCAAGACACTTAACTCAACATGGCTCCTGTAGCTGCGACTGTGTGTGTGAATGTTAGTTACTGATGGCATGTGTCACTGTGTGTGGTTCTCCTGTCATCAGTGTATGAATGGGGGTGAATGGGTGAATGATGTCATGTAGTGTTAAAGCACTTTGAGTGGTCAGAAGACTAAAAAAGCGCTATACAAGTACAGGCCATTACCATTAAAACTTAAAAATAAAGTGCACCAGTGAAGAGAAAGTGACGTGTGGGATGTCAGAGTCAGTCAGTGACCGGCTCTGTTGATGAGCCCGACTGCCGACGGGAAGAAACTGTTTGTTCGTGGACCAAACCAGGTCCTGGAGGACCGCGTCCCTCCACCGCGATCGGAGGACGACGGTTTGGGACAGACGAGTCGCAGCAGAAGTGACGCCAAGAAGGCTCAGCGGAGGTTGTTCTTCCTGAGGCAGCTGAAGAGATTCAACCTGCCAAAGACGATGATGGTCCACTTCTACACGGCCATCATGGAGTCCATCCTCTGCTCCTCCATCACCGTCTGGTACGCTGCAGCCACAGCCAAGGACAAGGGCAGGCTGCAGCGTGTCCTCCGCTCTGCAGAGAGGCTGATCAGCTGCAATCTGCCGTCCCTGCAGGACGTGTTCGCTTCCAGGTCTCTGAAGCAGCTAAAAAGATGGTAGCCGACCCCTCCCACCCCGGACAAAAACTGTTTGTGCCCCTTCCATCTGGCAGGAGGCTGAGGTCCATCAGGACTAAGACCTCCCGCCACACCAACAGTTTCTTCCCGTCGGAGGTTACTCATCAACAGAGCCGGTCCCCCACTGACTGACTATAACATCCCACCTGATTCCTGATATGCGTCCTTAAGGATGCAGCCTGGAGACTTTGAGACACGGCTGCAGCTACAAAACGGTTCTTTCCACGCTGCACCGCAGGAGAAGATATTCGTTGTGATGTGGATGAGAATCTGAGGCCCAACAGAAGATCAGGAGGTGTAGGAAGAGAACACTAATGTAATGTAACACTGCAGCATTCTGTGATCAGGTTCTTTGTGCTGTGCAGTGATGCCTTTTCCTTTCTGTATCACATTGACATGTCTGTCAACAAATTACAGCACAAACTGTAAAAGCGTGAATGTGAATCTTGTCAGTTTCTTGCAATCAAACTTCCACATAAGACTAAGGTGTGATTATTGTGCCATTATTAACGTGGTGTTTTGCTATTTGTACAAATTCTTTTGAGAAATGCACGTACTGTTTTGAAAATATCGAAGATAATTTGAGAAATCTACCAAATCAACTGAGAAAAACAGTAATATAGATGTAAGTATGTAATATCTGTTTGTATCACTAACAAATACATTGAAAAGCATTTTATTCATTACGGAGACAGTTTGATTAACTTTGTGTACTACTGGATAGATAAGATAGTACTGCGTCAGTTATAAGTACATGCTAATATGTCAATGTCAAAAGTAACATTTATTTGACAAATCATGTAGTGCAAAATGTAGCATAGAGCTAAAAAAGAGAAAGATATTATAGTTCCCTTACAGACGAATAACTATTATCTTATCTTACATAAGAGTTCCCCAAATAGAAGATATTAGAGTTCCCTTAGAGACAGACATTTCCTCTAAAAATGAATGAGTCATAATAAATTTCTGTCTCTAAAGGAACTGTAAAATACTTTTCTGTAGGGAAACTACTGAGACAAATTGTTGTTTGGGTGTTTTCCGGCTATAACCAAATAAAGTGGATGGAGTTGAACGGTGAGTCGGTGGGAGGAACCGTCCTTTAGCCCCGCCCCTCTACGCTCATTGAAAACAGAACACAGCTGTTGAGGCGCTTCGTTCCGAACGTTAGCATTAAAAAACTGTTAGCCGTGTCCCGGATGTGCCCACTGGAAAATCAGAAGAATAAGGAACACGGACAACTTCGGTGAGTAACACAACAAGGAAGAAGTTTGTTATCGTCTGAACATCACGTAGAGCCTCCCATCGATGTAGCTAGCTAACGTTAAGCGCCGAGCTCGGGTTGGATGGGTTTGTTTTGACACGCAGTACGTTCCGTTATCAAAGTGGATCGTCCATCAAGAGGCGGGAACAAGCGAGGAAAGCGACACTGGGACTCGCCCTGTTGTTGTGAGCATATAACGTTAAGTGCTGCTGGTTGAACCGGTTTATCTCCGACGTTATTTGGTTTTCCTCCTCCACCCACGTGAGGGCACGGGTCCCCCCACCACGCGCTGCGGAGTTTGACATCACCGTGATAATAAATCACGCGCTCCCTCACAAAGCCGTTAGCGCCGTGAATCAAGCTAGCGGCTGTCTGCAGCATGCTAATGTGGCGGAGAGCTGGGTGGCCTGATGTCTCTACTGTCCCGGACCGTCCCGGTAGAACCGTAAGCCCAAACATCCATAACCTACTGACTGTACGCGCTCTGCTCCAGGGCTTCACCGCCCAATGAGCTGCCCCGGAGCGGTACCGGTAGCCTGAACATGACAATAGACAACCATAACCCGTTGTTGTAGATGGTATGATCCGTAACGCATTACAGTAGATGGTATGATCCATAACCCGTAATTATAGATGGTATGACCCGTAAAGCCTCACTGTAGATGGTATGATCCATAACCCGTTGTTGTAGATGGTATGATCCATAACCCGTTATTATAGATGGTATGATCCGTAACGCCTCACTGTAGATTGTATGATCCATAACCCGTTATTATAGATGGTATGATCCGTAACGCCTCACTGTAGATGGTATGATCCATAACCCGTTATTATAGATGGTATGATCCGTAACGCATTACAGTAGATGGTATGATCCATAACCCGTAATTATAGATGGTATGATCCGTAACGCCTCACTGTAGATGGTATGATCCATAACCCGTTATTATAGATGGTATGATCCATAACCCGTTATTATAGATGGTATGATCCGTAACGCATTACAGTAGATGGTATGATCCATAACCCGTTATTATAGATGGTATGATCCGTAACGCATTACAGTAGATGGTATGATCCATAACCCGTTATTGTAGATGGTATGATCCATAACCCGTTATTGTAGATGGTATGATCCATTACCCGTTATTGTAGATGGTATGATCCGTAACGCCTCACTGTAGATGGTATGATCCATAACCCGTTATTATAGATGGTATGATCCGTTACGCCTCACTGTAGATGGTATGATCCATAACCCGTTATTGTAGATGGTATGATCCATAACCCGTTATTATAGATGGTATGATCCGTAACGCATTACAGTAGATGGTATGATCCATTACCCGTTATTGTAGATGGTATGATCCATAACCCGTTATTGTAGATGGTATGATCCGTAACGCCTCACTGTAGATGGTATGATCCGTAACGCCTCACTGTAGATGGTATGATCCGTAACGCGTTATTATAGATGGTATGATCCGTTACGCCTCACTGTAGATGGTATGATCCATAACCCGTTATTATAGATGGTATGATCCGTAACGCCTCACAGTAGATGGTATGATCCCGTAAGGCGTTATTATAGATGGTATGATCCGTAACGCCTCACTGTAGATGGTATGATCCCTAACGTGTTGCAGTAGATCACATAAGCAAAACTGTCTTGAAGTTCCATATACAGTCTATCTATACAGATATGGAAGTTTTAATTATTAAAACATCGATCTAATTAATCATTTTATTAACCATACAGTACACCCCCGCCCCCAATTATTGATCCTGGGGCTATTGCATGTCACTCTTGAGTAATGTTGCCCGGTGTACCGGTACGGTACCGTGGTTGAAAACAATACGATTATGAATATTTTTTGTACCGCTGTGCAATCCGTTCGCTCCCTGTCAGGCTGCCTGCAGACATTGACTGCGCAGCTCTCAAACGTGCAACATGAAGCCGTCCCTCACAGCGAGTTATCAGGGAGACGTGTCCTCATGTAGCAGACTGCTTTCCATCGACACACACAGACCCGTCTGTAAGACCTGCTTGAAATCCACCAGGCAAAGGAAGGGAACACTTTCAGAGAGCTCACCCACTTACAGCCCAACACGAGTAGCCTTAGCCTGGTTCAGACGTCCTCTTTTACCCGGACGCATTTTTTAGGTCTTCGAAAAGGGGAAATGTCCGGATAAAAGAGGACGTTTCTGAAAGAGGATGTGAAAGAGGACGTCTGATGGATGTTTGTCTGTGTTACGAAAATTGTTGACTTGCTAGTTTAGCTGCTAGCAAGCCATCTCGTTAGCGGCGTTAGCTAGCTTGTTATAACACGCTTGGACATTGATGCTAGTATTAAGTGCTCTCGCGTCCGCTTCTTTGTAATGTTGTTGTGGCCGACGGGCTGTAAGTTATCGGGTTACAGATGCGCTGTTTACCATCGGCGAGGTTGGAGATGAACCAGCGTGGATTTTTTAGCGTAAGAAGTTGGATGTGTGGCGTGAGTGCGTGTGAAAACATGCAAACACGTGTGTCACACGGGGAAACCGTGAGAGTTGGCAGCCTGTAGCTTCGTTGGCTAACTTGACAACAACTTTCCTAACCGGGAACCAACCAACTTTATTAACTAACAGTCAAACATCAAGCAAGTGCAACACAAGACAAAGCAAGACCGCAAATAAGTTACTGAATAGTCCAGCAGAAATATATACATGCCTTTATGATCATGAGGTCAGCAGGCACACAGAATTCTATCAAATAATACACACTTGATACAATAGGCTACGTGCTGGTGGATCTTCACCTAATTCTTTTCATTTTTAGTTAAGGAAAAATAATTATTCCATGAATTAAGATCAAATATGAATGTGAGAATATCAAACTCTATATTGGTGAAGTAGTAAAGTAGTTAGTATGTAAATGAAGCATTGTTTATCACACAGACAGTAAAAAAGGGAACCTTACAGACGCTTAATTTATTACTATCATAGATAAATATTCCAGTATCGTAATTATCGGGTACCGTAATATTTTGGAAGCTTTAATTAATTCCCAAACCTCCTGTCCGTCACTGTCCGGTGTTACTTTTTGTTGAGATATGTCAATGCTTCTGAAATCATTGTCTGATTCAGTGGGTGGATAAAACGTCATGACTTCCAAATGCTGTTCTCCATCACAAGTCAAAGGGGAATATGTTTGTGATCCTTCCTTTCTACGTCTTCTGATCTGCTGCTCGTGGTACTGAATCCCCAGAGAAACATTTACACTCGTGGTCTGAGTCTTCTTGTCCTGCTACTCGTCTTTCCTCATGAAGGCAGAGACGAAGCGTCTCTGGAGTGAGCTTCCAAAGGTTCGGGGAGCTGGAAGAAAACCATCAGAAGGGCGAAGCAGGTAAACGTCTCGCCCTCAGCGGCGAGTGTTAACAAGTGAGTGGGATGAAACGCGGTCAGGGAGTCCACACCGCCGGCCTCTCTGGGGCCATGTTTCCTCTGCTCCAGTTCCCCCCCAGCCCCTCTGGGTCGAGTCTGCGTGGGTTCTACAGACTCGGGGGGTTAACTGGTGATTGTTGTGGTCTCTGTGTCAGCCCTGGGACTAAATGGAGACCAGTCCAGACCAGACCCCGTCTGTTGTCGTGACCCCTCGCAACCCACTAAGGATAAGCGGGAGAGAAGATTCCTGTTCCCAGGTGCATTCTGGGAGTAGCAGTCCACACACTGCTTCCCTTTCTATGTGAACGATACACATTCTGGAGGCGTTGTTTTCCGCATTAAGCTTCCTCTCTCCATGTGACCTCCGGCCGGTGCTCGGTGTGGCCCGGTTGCCGTGGTAACCCCACGTCTGGCACAGCCGTTCGGCACAGATGGATCAGCAAAGCCACATGACGTCACACTGTTCCTCCGAGGCACGGTCAAAGCTACTTATCTCAGTGTGTGTTTCGATAAGGACGTTACGTGAGGGCCTCGTCGGCTTGGCTCTGGGGGGAAGTGGGTGTTGTGGACGTGAGCTTCATCAGCTGACTGCCTGTGTGAGAAGATGAAGGACTATAAAAAGGATAATGCACTGAATCTCCCTGCAGACATGCACAGGCTCAGCGCTGCCTCGGCTATTGAGCAATGCGCCTTTAGAGCAGCAGAGGAAGTTGTGCAGAAAGCGGCTCCTCTTGTGTGAGTTTGCTGACCTCCGGGTTCCTGCTGTGGTGCAGTCAGAAGATTGAAGAGGGTGAACGGCGTCCCGACCTCCAGGCCGACGCCGCGGAGTGACCCCTCATCGTATGATGTATTTATGATCTGAGCTCAACACTTTTCAGCTTCTCTTGTGTTTAACAATCTGCTCAAACTAAAGTAAAATCATTGGCCGTACTCATTCTCTGATACAAGTAGATTCATTTTTGGTGCATCACAATCGTAGCTGTTATCACCAAAAGGTCGGAAGTCAGGAACCAATGGCAACCAGTAGCCCCGCGGCCTTTAGTCTACTGGTTGCATGCATTCATCCGCCCAGTTAAAGCTTTACTACCTTCACAAACAGGTTGAGAACCTGACACACACACACACACACACCGGTAACATGTTAATGAGGTGACACACACACCACTATTGTGAGATCAATAGTCTTCCTTGGGGAGGTGTGACTAGACTTCCAGGTAAAAACAGACCCAAGATCAGATTCCGATTAATGGTTTTGACTAAATGTTGGTCTCTTGGTTCCATTATTTTATAGTCTCATAAGCCATTCAAGGATCATTAAAGGGCCGCTGTGGTACATTTACTGCTCACTCTGATTGGTTCAGCCCTGGAATATGATCGCTAACGTCTGAGTCACCGGCACAAGCTCCTACACGCTCCGTTGTTCTCACCTGATGTGTGAAGAACCTCGTTGTGCTTTAGCTCACACTTAGCTCATGTGTCGTTGACACGTTGATGGATTTTCTGAGTTGTGAAGTCGAACCAGCTCAGACGTATTGTTGCTCTGAGATGATCACTGAGAGAACGTTTGCTGTTGTGACATCAGACGTTTAACGCACATCTGCTATTTGTCCCGCTATTAACTATTTAAATATTAACCTTCACCCGATTTAGTCTTCTTCAGCCGTTGATCCCTCAGCGTAATGGGACACCTGCTGGCTAATGTGAGGCACTGCACCTCAGAGGCTTGGAGGCAGAGTGCATGATGGGAGTCCTGTGGAGCAGCTCCTCAACTTTGTCCTTAATTTAATTAGTTCCAAAGAGATTGAACAGATGATAAAAGGAACCTTTAACTAGTAATGGAGCGGTCTCTGTCGTGACGGAAGAACCGCGTCTGAGAGGTCTCGCTCCGGGGGGGGGGGGGGGGGTCTGAAAGGACCACTTTAGACTACAAGGGGATGCAGAATCAAACCAAAATACAAATCGTACTACTAACTAGGTAAATATAATAATGGGTGCTGATGTCAAGATGAGCAGCTGCTTGAGTGGACAGATGTGTGCGTTGTCATGGTTACCTCTGTCCTCTATCCCCCCCGATCCCCTCCAGGCTTCTAGATAATGTGGATTCCTGTTCTGTTCATCTCTCACAGCCGCAGCCTGAGAGCAACGGGTCCCGACTCCAGAACCAGGACTGAGCTCCCCTCAGACACCATGAGCATCTGACACACACACACACACCTGGTGAGTCTGGACCCGCGGCCCTGCTGCTGACCCGTGTGTGTGTGCGTGTGCGTGTGTGTGTGTGTGTGGACATTAATAAATGTATGTATGCGCAGAGGGCCGGGGGGCTTTTCTGAGGATGATGATCGCTCTCGTGCTGTAGAGCTAGATGCTGTGGGAATGATGGACCTCCCAGATGGCCACTCGGGCATCACCGCCCCCGCTGCACCGGTCTCTGAGGTGAGACCCCGCCCAGTTTACACAGCGTGCAATGACACGTGGACACGAATGGCTGCTTCTTCACACTTCTTCTTGTGTTGTAGAAGAGCAGCAGCTCAGGGTCTCTCAGTGATAAAGGCTCCTCGGACCTGAAGAAGAGTTTTGACGCCGTTGTGTTCGACGTGCTGAAGGTCACGCCAGAAGAATACGCGGTGAGTGAAGCTTTCGTGGTTAAACGGCCTCATGGTCGGCGAGCACAGACCAGCTGACTAGGGAGGATAGAGCTTCCATCACGATGTGTTTGAGGGTTCACCGGTATAATGTGGACTAATGAGTGAGACCTTGCTCGCCTTTAAAAAGATGATAATCTTTTCTTTCCTCTCAGCACCGTTCACCACCAGAGGGCGCTCTCTCTCTCTCTCTCTCTCTCTCTCTCCCCCCCCCCGGACTGTTGACTCTCCATTGAACATCTCCCATGTTACATCATGTTCAATGACGGTCCAGTCCAATAAAATGAGTCATTCAGAACATCTAAAGTACTAAAGCCATCTTTAACGGTTTAAGGCCTAATCCAGTGTCCCACACTGCCCCTGACCTCTGACCCCCAAGGGCGTCACTGAGGTCACCCGGTCAGAGTCTGCGAGGGCCTAAAGTGGCACTTTTTTGCCACATGTCACCATGACAACGTCACAAAATCTGATTTCATACTTTTAGTCCGATTTGAACGTCTTGATTCAGTTCATTTGAATGTTTTACTGATTTTATCCAAATTTAATGGGAACAAAATGAAATAAATAAATATTGTTTGATCGGACATTTGATCGTTACTCCTTGATGTTTTAAATCTACACATTCTGATACGAACCCTTTTAAGCTTCCACTGGTTTTAACGTCACACTGCGCCTTGTGGGTAATTCCCTCGACAGGGTTCACAAAGGACTCAAAAGCTGTGTCTCATTCGGTGGGCTGCAGCCTCACGATGACCCGGCCTTCTGGTCTACAAAGACCGCGTAGACTGACCTGCTGCGCTTGACAGTTAAAAGGTGAAACACAGAAATGCAGATAGAGAATCTTCCTGTTTCACTTAATTGAGCAGGATGGATTTCAGGTTGGGGCGGAACAGCTTCTGGTTATTTTAAATTTAATCCGTTACGCCTTTTACTTTCAGCTAAAAGTGACATCGTAAACTTAAGGCAGAGAAAACGCTCAATAAAAACCACAGCAGAAAACACATTTATTAACTTGTGTGACTTTTTTCTTTTCTTGCATATACAGTTAATTTAACTTAAGATATTACAGCATATGTAGAAACTATAGAAGCTGAATGTCACCACACACATCGGCCTTTCAGCGTGATGCTGCTTCCTCAAACACAACTAGATGTCAAGTTATCATTTTATATTCAACTTTATTGTCATCGCACAGCGCACAAGTACTGAGACAACGAAATGCAGTTTAGCATCTAACCAGAAGTGGATATATATATATATATATATATTATATATGAGTATATCTACATGTACACTATGAAATCTACATGGAGCAGAATGGACACTAAATAAGTGTCGTTTGTAACATTATGACTTAAAGTGATGTTTCAGGTTCATAACTTTGATCCATTTCTGTTGATTAATATGAAGTATAAAGTTCAGTAAACTGAAGTATGTACAAAGGGTGAAAGATTTCACTCACAAGTACAGACGAGCTGCTCGTTGTGTGTTTGTTATAAATGTGTGTTGGTACGTTGATGTTCATAAGAAGGGGAACATGGTGGGACTCAGGTTAGAGGGTCAGGGGCTTTATGGGGGGGAGTTAACGTCATGTGACCTCAGTGATTTAGTAAACCGTGGATATTCTATATTCTATAACATTTCTATATATTATCACATGATGGGACGTACTGGGCGCTGCGTCCTTGGCCGACAGCAGAGGTGATGAGCAGCCTGGGGGGCAAATGAGACGCAGCCTCACACAATCCACGGGGGTCTCAAAGTCTGAGGCCATCGGGGGGGATTTTGCCTCATGTGAACAGTCTTGTGCTTTGTCTCCTTCAGGGACAGATCACGCTCATGGACTCCCCCGTGTTCAAAGCCATCCAGCCAGAGGTAAGTGTGTGTGTGCACGCGTGTGCGTGTCTGTATGCATATGCATGCTTGTTCCAGTCGTAAAAAGACAATGTTAGAAAAACATAATAAAATTTGCAATGTAGTTTAAGAGTACCAACATTCTGAAATGCAGAAACGGGCAATTTAAGTCCAAAAGAAGCAGAAAAGCCTTTTAATATGGATTTGAAGGCGCTGAGGGACCCTCACCGGCCCCTTCATTGGGTTCCCCTGTTCCACTGCTTGTTAACACAAACTGCCAATCAGCCAATCACATGGCGGCCACTCATTGCCTACAGGTACGTGATGAATACAAGTTGCTGGAGTCAAAGGGAGCATCAGAATGGGACTTATGTGACTAGTGCGCTGAGGCTCGGCTCAACACATCTGCTTCCGATGAGAAGAGACTATTAGGAAGGTTCGCTTCAACCTGCTGAGGACACACCTCAGCTCAACGCTGCTGGCTCAGCTCAACGCTGCTGGATTTTATATAGTCATTTCCTCATAGACGTCTATGGGAGCAGAGGAGTCGCCCCCTGCTGGTCACTACAGAGAAGTAGAGTCATTTCCTCATAGACGTCTATGGGAGCAGAGGAGTCGCCCCCTGCTGGTCACTACAGAGAAGTAGAGTCATTTCCTCATAGACGTCTATGGGAGCAGAGGAGTCGCCCCCTGCTGGTCACTACAGAGAAGTAGAGTCATTTCCTCATAGACGTCTATGGGAGCAGAGGAGTCGCCCCCTGCTGGTCACTACAGAGAAGTAGAGTCATTTCCTCATAGACGTCTATGGGAGCAGAGGAGTCGCCCCCTGCTGGTCACTACAGAGAAGTAGTCATTTCCTCATAGACGTCTATGGGAGCAGAGGAGTCGCCCCCTGCTGGTCACTACAGAGAAGTAGTCATTTCCTCATAGACGTCTATGGGAGCAGAGGAGTCGCCCCCTGCTGGTCACTGCACAGAATGCAGCTTCAAGACAAAGCTTTGACTTCCCTTTAAAGAACCAGATGTTTCTCTCTTTGTAATATCATAATCACTGTTGGCTGTTGGTTAATTGAAAAATGAACTAAAAATCTCAGAGGAAAAGAAAGTCTGGAGTCCCTTTTTGTTTCCGACACTCACTCATCACAACAGGTTTGTGATTTAGTGACTTAGGCTAAGGACCTTATGCTCCACATTCAGTTCTGGGGGGAATTGGGAGGGAAGAACTGAGAGGAAATAAGACGTGAGTTCTAGAGAATAACTGGACCTTGAAATTCTGTGCTCATAAAACACTGTGGGAGATTCCCCTTTTTACAGAGTTTTACTCTTAGTTTTTCTTTTTAGAATACAATGTGACTTTTACTACAATACATTCGGGCTGTGAATAGATAAAAAAACGAATTTACTAAACTAACTTAATGGCGATTAATGAATTGTTGTTTTTAAAGAATATTTGTTTTGTTTTTCTGACTAAATCTTACAAGTACACTTTTAGACACTGTTGTTTAACTGTGAATAATTTTAAACACAAAAGTACACACATTTGATGATTTTGGAGGCAGAATTCCACCTGGTGGAACATATTGAACTAGCAAGCCTTCCAGCTAGCTTGGCCTAGCAGCTAGCTTAGCATAGCGGTGCCTAAGTGGTCCGTTTGCCACTCGCCCCCTTTCTGTTTGACACGTGGAGTAATTCGTTCTACTTCCAATGCTAAAAGCTCCATCTTGATGTAACTGACTGCAGCTAGCGGCTGTTTCGTTTCCGCGGTCAACTTCTCTGGCTTCTCTACAACGCTACTTATTTTTGAATAACATCCCATCATATATTGGTAAAATCAAAGCTTTTTCAATGTTATCTCGGACTCAGGGGAAAGTTAGTAGGTTGAATCCTTGTGTTTTTGTGCGGATTTTGGACACATTTAGGAATGGAGTCAATTAAAGAGTTGGTCTCATGTTAGCACACCTCCTAAATAGTAGAGGGGGGGTGCTGTTTTTTCTCCCCCCTGTGAAAGATGTCTTCTATTTTTAAATATAATTTTTTCTTTGGAGGGGGGGGGGGGGGGGGGTCATATATATATATATATAAACACGCACACATCTCCCTCAGTGACTGTACTTCCACCCTGGCTTGACTGCCACACACCCTCCTCCAGCCACTGAACATTTGCACTGTTATTGTATATCCATTTCTTACTGTACATATCTATTTATTCACTTATTACACTTTACATATGCACATATTCTGCACTTTTTGCTACTTTGCACTTCTGGTTGGATGTTAAACTGCATTTCGTTGCCTCAGTACTTGTACCCTGTGCAGTGACAATAAAGTTGAATCTAATCTAGATGAGCCTCACCTCCCTCCCTCCTTCAGGAGCTGTCAAGCTGTGGCTGGAACAAGAAGGAGAAACACAGCTCTTCTCCCAACGTGGTGGCTTTCACTCGCAGGTTCAACCAGGTGAGGACCCTCTCCTACGAGCCGTCAATCACCTGGATCCTCTCCAGAAGTCATTAATATGTGTCAATGCAACGTGTACGAGAGTGCGTACGGCGTGCTGCCCTGTGACATCACCAACAGGAAGCTGTGGGCAATGATGTCAGGGGGCACCCGAGCCTTTGATCCCCCTCCAGGGTTATTGCCCGGCCCCCTTCAACGCCCACTTCACGGTCATCCAGCACAAACATGAGACCATCTCACAAGAATGTGTTGCCGTGGAAACTCGTAGCAGGACCCAGACGGTGATTTCAGATGCACGTGTCCTTGTGTCGAGAGCAGCGGAGACTATCAGTGGTGCCCCCCCCCCCCCCCCCTTATTTAATGGTACCTCATATAAGGACACAGTGTGCAGACGTCTGTGGCTTCAAAGCCCTCGTGTGTGTGTGTGTGTGTGTGTGTGTGTGCGCACACTTCTTCCCCCTGGGTTGACACATTCAGAGTTAAGGCAAATATGTGTTATGTAATCTGTTGGAATCATCTGGATTTTCCTCCAGTCTGGACTCAAACCCTCTTTGAGAGAAGCACACCAGAGTTGTGACTTCTTGTCTTTATTTGTCTTGTAGACCAGCTTCTGGGTTGTTCGGGAGATCCTCCATGCTCAGACGCTGAAAATCCGAGCGGAGGTTCTGAGTGTGTACATCCGCACCGCCAAGGTACACAAACGGGACTTCACACAGCTCCCAGCTGGAGGTCCCGTGTGATGACTCCTCTTTTTTCCTCCCTTAGAAACTGTGCGACATGAACAATCTCCACGCCGTCATGGCCGTGGTGTCGGCGCTACAAAGCGCCCCCATCTTCAGGCTGAGCAAGACTTGGGCGGTGAGTTCCTTTACAAGGGGGCGTCTGCTTTGGTAGAGGTTATCTTGAACCAGGACGTCACGTAGACCTGAACCAGTACACTGGACCCCCAAACCAAGGCTCTGAAAACCAGCTCCCACCATAACCATGTCATCAGAACCTGATCTCTGCTACCCCATTTACTCATACCTCCTTCCTCCTGCCCCCTACCTCCTCCCGCCCCCTTTACTCATACCTCCTCCCTTTACTTATACCCGTATTTACTCATACCTCCTACACCCTTTACTCATACCTCCTACACCCTTAACGCATACCTCCTACACCCTTAACTCATACCTCCTACACCCCTTAACTCATACCTCCCGCCGCCTTTACTCATACCTCCTGCCCCCTTCACTACTACCTCCCGCCCACTTTACTCATACCCCTATTTACTCATACCTCCTGCCCCTTTAACTCATACCTGCCGCCCCCTTTACTCATACCTCCTATCTCCCGCCCACTTTACTCATACCCCTATTTACTCATACCTCCAACGCCCATTACTCATACCTCCTACCTCCCGCCCCCTTTACTACTACCTCCTACCTCCCGTCCCCTTTACTCATACCTCCTACACCCTTTACTCGTTCCTCCTACCTCCCGTCCCCTTTACTCATACCTCCTACACCCTTTACTCCTACCTCCTACCTCCCGCCCCCTTTACTACTACCTCCCGCCCCCTTTACTCATACCTCTTACTTCCCGCCCCCTTTAACGCTATAAAGCTACAATGATGTAATGCTGGAAATGTGTCATACCACAGAAAGCATTGACCCTTTACAAAGAGTGGGAAGATTCCCTGGTGGTTTATTTTTATGTTCCTGCAGCATTAACTGTGTATATTTGTAGTCATAGTAAGTTCAATGTCTGTTGAAACCAATGGTTAGTCACTAGGAGGTGGCGCCTTAGTGCTGCTAGCCTGACATAGCTGCCTCACTGCATCTATCCGCCGCCTCCTCACAGCTCCTGAGTCGGAAGGACAAGGCCACGTTTGACCGCCTCGACTACCTTATGTCCAAAGAAGACAACTACAAGCGTCTGAGGGACTTCATCAGCAGCCAGAGCATGGTGTCCTGTATCCCGTACCTAGGTACCCACAATCACACTCTGAGACTCTGTGCTCCTAGCTTCTGATCTTCATGGGCTGTTCACCAGTGGGCTCACTGAACGAGGAGCATCATCTCCCGAACGACTGCGTGTCATGAAGGAGTAGAACATGACACGGATTGATCTCAACCATGAGGCATTTTAAGAGAGAAACTAAGGCTTTTTCATTCATAACCCTGATAATGATCTCCCCTCTGCTGCTGTGATGTTGTTCTCCACGGCTCTTTCAGCAGCCTTTGGCACTTGGTCTCCTTTGATAGAGGCGGACTTGGGTCTCTTGGGTATTTATTGGGGAGGAATAATCTGACTTAGTGGAACCACAGCTGGCTGCTCCTCATGACGTGGTCTGGGCTGGACTCTTGGAACCGGTATATCTTACATTCTGCTCAGTCTTAGTCTTTAAAGAAACTCACACTTCAATTGTAACAGAAGAATTTAATTAGAAAAATGTGTGTGTGTGTGTGTTTTTCTGTTTGTGTCATCACTGTATCTGTACACAAAGGAAAACTAAACATATAACCGTATTAAGAATAGTTCTGGTACCGGAATGGATATAAAATGACTATATTACTATAAATACACTGATAAATAACATAGTAAGGCAGAGTGAAACAACGCAAACATTAAATGACCTTTTACAAACCAAGCCAAGATATTTACAGACCAAATCCATGCTGGACCAGAACCCCCACCCCACCCTGGCTTTGCAGAGTCCTGTCCTACAGATTTCCTGCTCTGTTTAAACATTCGTCTAGTACTCGTTATGGGCCGAAGTCACTGGTCGCTGCTCTCAGGGAATCTCCTGTGTTTGGTTAACAATCATTTCCCCTTTTATTACATCTTAGAGTGAGTAAAATACGACAGGGGGAGGGACACAGGAGCTGGTTCCACTCTCACTCTCAAGGCCCTGTGGAAGTCTTTGTGGGTCGATAGCGGAGGCCTCAGTCGATGGGTCGGATCATGAGGCGGGTGGTCTTGAGGGAGTAGAATCCTCCTCCGTACTCGGCCCAGAAGATTCCGTCCTGGAACTTGCTGCGGTACACCCCCCCGCTGTACCACACGCCGTTCAGGTTGGTCTGGCCACAGGCGTTATACCACCAGCCACCTTTATGGAAGTGGGCGCAGTTACCTAGTGGAGAGGGACGTCATTGGGATGATGGACAGGCTGAGCCTCTGTGTCATTCTACCTCGAGGCCTGTCACCGTAACATGTACCAAGTCTCTCATATAATGATTATATAGCAGCTCCCTCTTAAAGAGGAATGCACGTTTTACGAATATTTAGGAATACAAAAAAATGTGTAAATAGATTAAAATCACACAACCAGAACAATAAATTAAATGGAATTTCTGAGGTGGATAAAACAATTCTGAACTAATCCAGTCATTAGCCACCATCAACTATAATTTTTGGCCAGTATTCCGTAGTAGTAATATATTCAGTAGAGTTCCAGAAACCTTAGCCCCCCCTACCAGAGAAGGCGTCCTTGTCCCGGTCCAGCGTGGTGAACTGCTTGCCGTTGTGGCTGCTGAAGGAGTCCCCGGCGTTGCCCTGGTAACTGCCAAGCCTGAGCCGGTAGCCCTCGCTCTCGGCCTCCAGGTGGAAGCTGCTGTACTCGGCGTAGACCTTCTTCCCGGTCCAGTCCTCCAGCTCCACCATCAGCTTGTAGTCCCCCTGTCTCCCCAGGTTGTAGATGTTCTCCAGGCCCAGCCAGTGCTCTCCGTCAATGTTCCCAAAGCCCCTCTGTGAGGAGGATTAGAGGTTCTGCTTCAGGTTCAAAGTGTCTCTGAGAGGTTTGATGATCAGAGTTATGTCTCGCGTGCAAACATCATAGAACCACCGAGAGGAAAACCTTGTTCTTACTCCGGGTGTATTTGTGTTTTTGTTGCTCGGTTACACATCTCTGTGTGATGGGGTCTTTTCCAGGGGGGACTCTCCCATAACTCTGTCTGTAGGTTCTGTGGCTCCAGCTCTTGGCTGACTCCACTGTGAAGAAATCCTCCTCTAAGCTGTTTACACTGATGGAGCAACAGCTGGCCGAGAGGAGCCGCCGAGCTCACATGGGAAGACATTTCTCATTCTGTTTTTGGTTTTTATCCCATTAAGTCTGCCCTTAATCCCTAAGCGTCCCTTCGGCTCACCTTGTAGTTCTCCCAGTTCCGAAAGAAGTTGACTGACCCGTCCCTCCTCCTCTGCAGCACAGTCCAGCCCCCGTTGTCCAGGCCGTGCTCGCACCAGGCCTGGATCAAGCGGTCGCTGCCGGTGGTCCTCAGCAGGTACATCCCGCTGGTGGTGTGGCCGGCCTGTCGCACCTGGAAGCAGTCTCTGTAGGGACCTGAGGTCGGAGACAAGTGTCTTTGATTAGAGATGGGGCGAGATGGTTTGACCCATCATCAGTGCTTAGCCCTTAAAGAGCCAAAGTGGGATTTATACCAGCCAGTGGAATGTTACAAATGACCAGATCACCTAATGGTCTTATCGATGCTGCATCTATATATTTTGTTTCAGCCTCTCGATTTGTACTAAAATATGTATAGTGAGTTTTATCCCCCAGAGCAAACTGCACCTCCAATTGACCAAGATGGCTTTTTTTTTTTTATTACATATGCAAAAGTCATTATCATCAATCGAGGCGCTCAAAGAGAGAGACCGGTTGTCTGAGCGGATTCCCCAATGAGGCCACATTCTCTGGAAACATGTCTCCTTTTTGCTGCAAGCTTCCCAACATCAGTTACTTTTTGTTGACCGTATGTCTGTTTGTCAGAGGAGAAGTTCTCCTTCTTTTCGCCTGTGTGCTTTATTGAGGCGAGAGGTGGAAATATTTTGGGGGATTTGTTTTTCTTTTCCCGAAGGATGATCCTCGTCTTCCGTTACTTCGTCTGGTTTTAGATAAATCATTGGTGTAGATCGAGGGTTGATGTTCACCATCTGGTCCTGATCCGGATGGAGCGGAGGACTGTTGTTACAGGAGAGCGCTCCGTTCTGATCAGCTGTAACTAAGCATTGGATGTGTGAACGGTTGCAGAAATAACCAAGAACACTTAAGATCATCTGCATGTGAATCCTGCTTTTTCACCTCCAATGAAGCCTCTAATTATAATAATCATCATTAGTGCTCTAAATACTTATTACTCTATAGTAAGGTGTAAGAAAATGATATAATGCGCTGTGATTCTGTATTTATTCTTCGACAACATATATCGAGTAGTTTACATGTACATTTTTTATATATATATATATATATATAACATTTTCTATAATCCGCCATAATAAGGAACGAGAGGGAAATTATGGTTCCTTTGCGGATTACTTCACGTCGTCTATGGACTCTGTAAATCTGTCTAAAGCTTTCTCCAAGTGTTTTTTAAATGCCGTTCAATGACGCCTAATCCACCTTTAATTTAGTACAGATGCTTGGTGCTGGCAAAAGCAATCACAGGAATGTCTGAACTTGCTGTTCCTCAGCGACACAAACTGCTGCGAGACATTACCTTCTTAATTGCAGTCCTTTAGTAATAAGACTTTAGTGTTTGTGTGCAGATGATTGGGACAACTACCTCAGTGATCCTTCATCCTGCCTCTGCACCGTTAAAATGGGTACGTACCATCAGGGGTGAGGGTTCCCTGCGGAGCGGGAGGGTCGGTCCCAAAGGGGCTTGCAGTTGGAGAATCCATGCGCGGCCCTCTCGGAAAGGCCCGGTTGTTGTGGTCCCTCTGGATCTCGTTGGTGAAGCGGTGGTTAACCGGAAGCTTCTGTGGTACCACCTGAACCAGCGGAGGAGCCACTGGCAGCTCGCCGTGCCCCAGCCTCCGCAGACACTGATCCTCCAGCGCTGAGATGAGGACGGACTGGTTGTTAACCACCCCGGCCATCGTGGAGAACCGGGCCTCCAGCTCCTTGTACCTGGAGGCCAGTCGCATCATCTCCGAGGTCACGTTGAGGACGCGGTTCTCCAGCTGGGCCAGCTCCAGAGAGTTGTCCCTCTTTCTGATGATCTCATGTAGCAGCTGCATGTAGAGCTGGGTCACCCTGGAGTTCATGTTCCTGCTCTCTTTGCGCAGCAGCTTCATCTCATTCACCAAGTTACCGTCCACATCCACCACCAGCTGCAGCGTCTCAATCTCACGCCGCTGTTTGCTGATCACCTCCCGCACATCTGCAATGTCGATACGGGTCACTCTGTCCTTGTCGGGCTCTGGGCCTGTGCTGCTGGCACAGATTGGACCTGGTGACCGATATGAAGGACTTGCGTTACATGAAGACAATATGAGGAGTAACTGAAAGTGTACTACACGAACCTGTGATTTTGTGCTCTGGTACGAGGAAGGTGTAGGAGCACTTCTTTGCATCCGGGTCGATGGGGGCTCTCTTATTCCTGATGAGAGGAGGCCCTTTGGTCGTCTGGGCTTCCCTGGAGCTTCTGCAGTAACTGACCCCCCACAGCGAGAGCCACAGCAGGGTGCACAGGCTCCACGTCTGCCCCGGCATGGCTAGATGGGTGGACCAATGGCTCGATGGAGAGCTGCTGGTGCTCCGCTTCCCCCCCCTCCCGAGGACACGTTAAGGAAGGAATGTCAACCCTAGGGGAGTTGATGATGTTCTTGATTTACGTGACACATATACAATATTCAAATAATCAGTTGTTCAGGAAAGTGTGTGGAAAGATTGAGAGGTACAGAACACTTGGGACGAGGTCTGCTTTCTGTCTCTGTTGGACGGACAGCTTGTTTTTCTGCATCCTGTTGGTGTTCTTTATGGTGAACGGGTCCAACATCTGGTCTTATTTGCAATTCTTTCCTTTCAGATCATTCTAGCTCATTCACACCCTGAAGTCCTGCATAGCATTAACCTGAAAGGGTTTATTTCACCCAAAGGAACTATTTCAATCCCCCCCCAAAACAGTAGATCAGCTTCTTACACTAAATAGAAAATTCTCTCTGGTGCAGGCTGATGTAGAGCATTAAGACACTGTCACTATTAGCCTTCATGTTATCATTTGCTCATTGTCTTAGTCTCCTTCTCTACGTCACGTCTTCCCACTCTGGCTGCTACAGATATGAGATTCCAACAAGGTAAATCAGGAGATAAAAGTTCCTTAAGTGTTTGGTGAAAAGGTCTCTCAGAGGGTTCAAGACCTGGCTCCCTGCTGACGATCTGACCTCACGGTCCCGCACGCCCCCTCCTGCTAAAACACACTGACCCCGATTCCACCGCAGCTTCTTCTGAGAGTTAAGTATGTGAAATATGCTCTCTGGTGGGGCTCCACACGTTCTACAGGAATGTTCAGGAGTCGCTATTCGGGGTTTCAGTTGAATGCGTTCATAAACAGGTGGACTGTACAGGGGCGAGGGAGGAAAACTGGATGAGACGGGTTGTCTTATGCCTCCTTTTTGCACTGCTGGTTCTGTTTCTCATCAAACTCCACTTAGAACCTGGGACACTGCACCTCCACCTTGAGACTTTGCGTCTCCTCTATGACCCCATTGTGGTTCCTCAGGCATCCAGTCGTGAGGAAACAGTTGCACGGACGGAGTGTTCTGTACGGGCGGTTTCCTCGCTGAGAGGCCATGAGGACTTTACCAGCTGGGCTCTCTTTCGACTGCTGGCTTCATCCACATACCCCTTAGCTTGACTGGCTGACATAACCTCACAGATCATCCATCAGCTGGCGCCTCCTGCATCCCTTTTGTCTCTGTCTCCTTTTCCACCAAGTCTGACTTCTCTTTAGGAGGGGGTTGTGGTTACGAGGGGCTTTTTTTTTTTTTTTTTCATAGAACCCTGAGCTATCAAAGACATTCCAGGGAAACGGTGAACGGTCATTGGTGTGTTTCGGGGGTAAAAGGTTTACAGCGTTTCCTCACAATATGCACAGCAGCTTCTTTTTTTCCACCGTGACAAACGGAAACTAAACATTTGAGGACGGCAACATGAGGCTCTGACCTCCTGAAACGTGAGGGGAGGGAATGAGCCTTCACATGGTCACATGGTTCAGTCAAAGAATGATCACTTCCGAGACTCTACAACCAATCAAAGGTTCTGAGTAGCCTGACCTTCAGTCCCGATTTGGTTGGAAGAAATGTGTTTTTTTTTAAATAGTCTATTGCAAAGGCTTAATTTGAGTCTCAGCTGAGGTAGAAAACTGATCGCTTCTGTAGTTAAATAACGTGATTCATGTTTCAACAAAAACCAAACATTAAACATTAATATCAACATGATCCCTCACTCACACCCACCAGCGCCTCTGCTAGAGCTCATTAATTACGTTAAATGTATTACAAATAAAGAGAACGGACTGGCTGTTTACGTAATCCATACATGACAATTAAGTTAACTGGATTGTATTTATGAGACGTGTCAAACTTGTTACACAGGTTCCTTTTATAAATTAATGATGAATTAGAACTAAATAGTCAGGAACATGCCTTTTATTCTCTAATGTTGGGTGGTGATAAAGTTTAAACTGTGGGGCTGAAACAGTTTAGATTCAAAATATGGCGACAGTGATGATGATTCCTCCCTTTCAGGTATCTTGAACCTTTCCTCTTAATGTCCCCTCCTCCTCTTGAATACTCTCCTCTCTGTTGACTGTTGCGTCTCCTCTTTCCTCTCAAGATCCTTTGGTTACAGCGGAATCTCTCCAGCAGCAATTTGCACATATGAAAGCTGTAAGCAAAGTGACTGACAGAAATGAACCCTATTAATACAAGACTGATTTATTAAATGTCTTGTTGGCCCATCGGGAAGCATTTATTGCCATAATATGTCAGACATACAAGGAATTTGACTTGGCGTTGGTGCATGACAGCAGATAGTATGACAATGGACAACAATGGGTTAGTTTAAAAATAAAGGAATACAAGCTAAAAGTTAAAAATTCAAAATAAATCGCACCAGCGAACAGAAAGTGAGCGGTGGAAAGTCAGGTCCTCACAAATGCACGGTTGCTTCTGCTTCTTTTATATTGATTCGTTCCCCCATCGTCCACGACAGTCGTCCCGTACTGTGCGCCCAAACCCCCCCTCGTACTAGAAGCTCAGAGCTCCTGCCCCGTCCTTTTAACCGCGTCCTATATAAGGAACATTTATTACCAAAACATGTCAGACATACAAGGTTTTGACTTGGGGCCAATTCCAATTCTACCTCTTACCCCTTCACTTTCCCCTTCCCCTCCGTTTTGCGCGTTCTCGTGAAGGGAAAGGGTCGTCCCAATTCTCTTTTGGTTGGAGGGGTAGGGGTCGGGGGAAGCGCCAGTCGCCCTTCAAACGAAGATTTTTCAGGACTACACTCCAAACGAAGGGGTACGAGCTACAGATGCAAAATGGCTGCCCAAACAAAAAAGGAGACCCATAAATGTAAGTATTATTGGCATTAATGAGTATTTGAATGACAATGCAACTGCAATGACTGCTGCTGAAGACGGCATCTTGGAAGTTTGTGATAAATATCGGCGCATCTTCTGTGACGTAGGCGCCTAGCGTCGACGTAAAATGACGTGTAACGGAGGTAGAGGTGTCCCATTTCTTAGGGCTATATTTTCACCCCTACGCCTTGCCACTCTGTTTCAAGGGCCAAGGGGTAGGGCTAGGCGAAGGGTTATAAAATAGAATTGGAATTCAGCCTTGGCGGTTGGTGCATGACATCAGACAAGACCAATAAGACAACATAGTACAAGAACAACAAAATTAAAAGTTCTAAATAAAGTGCACCAGCCAACAGAAAGCGACAAGTGTATGTGGAGTGTGAAAGAAAGGTGGAATATCAGAGTCAGTCAGTGGGGGACCGGCTCTGTTGATGAGTAACCTCCGACGGGAAGAAACTGTTGGTGTGGCGGGAGGTCTTAGTCCTGATGGACCTCAGCCTCCTCCCAGATGGAAGGGGCACACACAGGTTTTGTCCGGGGTGAGAGGGGTCGGCTACCATCTTTGTAGCTGCTTCAGAGACCTGGAAGCGAACAAGTCCTGCAGGGACGGCAGATTGCAGCCGATCAGCCTCTCTGCAGAGCGGAGGACACGCTGCAGCCTGCCCTTGTCCTTGGCTGTGGCTGCAGCGTACCAGACGGTGATGGAGGAGCAGAGGATGGACTCCATGATGGCCGTGTAGAAGTGGACCATCATCGTCTTTGGCAGGTTGAATTTCTTCAGCTGCTTCAGGAAGAACAACCTCTTGGGTTGATGGGATGGTGGTGTTGAAAGCAGAGCTGAAGTCCACAAACAGGATCCTGGCGAAGGTTCCTGGGGAGTCCAGATGCTGGAGGATGAAGACCATAGGTTGATGGAGCTGTGGGGGTGGAGTCAGGACATTGTCTTTCAAATCTGCAGTAGAACTCGTTTAGCTCATCTGCCAGGCGGAGGTCATTCATGTGAGGTGTTTAAGGCCTCTCCAAACCGAAGCAGAGTCACTTGCTGACCTGAAAACATCCCAGTCTGTGCAGTCAAAGCACGCCTGAAGATCCTCCAGCGCCTCACTGGTCCACTTCTTGAATTCCCTCACCACAGGTTTGCAGGGCTTTAGTTTCTGTCTGTATGCAGGAATCAGATGGACCATGACGTGGTCAGAGTGTCCCAGTGCAGCACGAGGGACGGCGTAATGAGCCCTGCTTACTGTGGTGTACCAGTGATCCAGCGGTTCTCCTCTCTGGTGGGGCATTTAATAAACTGTCTGTACTTAGGGAGTTCATGGGTGAGATTTCCTTTGTTAATAACCAAGGAGTCCGGGTGGGTCCGTTCCACACGCCGTATCTGGCACGCGAGTGTCCGCTGTGCCTCGTGCACGTTGCCTGCCGACGGCATGTAAACATCGACCAGGATGAACAAAGCAAACTCACGGGGGAGTAAAAGAGTTTACAGTTGATGATGAAAGATTCCAGATCAGGAAAACCGTGTTGTAGGATCACTGTTACGCCAGCTGATGTTGGAGAAGAAGCAGATCCGGAGAGCTCCGTGTCGCGGTCCATTCTGACCAGCTGGAAGTCCGCCAGCTGGAGCGGGGAGCTCCTGACCCTTCCTCTTAACCACATCTTGGTCATGGTTGTCCTCTGGCTCCATGATGTCATGTAACCCCCCCCACGCCCCTCCACCAACGGTGATGATGAGTGTGTTTTAGAACTTATTGGCCTCAATGTAGGAAAGTCTGAGGAGCAGATGTGGGAATGAGGAGGGAAGTACATGGTCTACATTTCTCTCATGCTTTTCAAAGGGTGATGCATCAAAACACAGACTGACTATTAAATCACTACTCGAGATCCGGAGCTCAGAGACCCACACCGGTTCTGAAACAGTTGAATAATAATGTGGATGGTTCTGTTTTTTTCTCAATCAGGAACATTTGCATTCTCTAAGTATAGTATAGAAAATATACCAGTTAGTATTCTATAGTTTACTATTTATATACTCCTATTTACCTCCGAGTTAAAGTAAACTTGAAACCGGAACTTACTTACGTTGGTCCATGTTGAGGGCCGATGTGACACCACGGCTTTAACGACATGAATGTATTCATTCCCAAACGAAGGGGGGGGGGGGTTGAGGACATTGTGTCTGACCTACGCCCCCCAAAGCGGCTCAAGTTACAAGCGGGCAAAAAGGCCGAGAGAGAAAGCGATGGAAGGGGGTCTTACAATGTCCCTATTTCCTCGACAGGAGGCCCTGTCAGAAAATGTTTGGGAACCAAAGGTCTAGGGTGAAGAATACGCCCAAACGTGTGCCACTGTTAGCTCTGGCTAGCATTACCCTCTCCGCCAGCAGCTAATCTAAGCTAAATGGCTAACGTTAGCTCTTTACATCATCATACAGGTGATCAATTCATAAATCTATGTAGTACGGTCAAAAATTCATATCACAGTATTCTGTAGGATTCTGGCGGTTTCACAGTGTATTACCGTTTCTTTCTGAGTTAACACATTCATTGACCCCCCCCACCTGAACATCTGTTAACCGCTTGTTGTGGCTTGCTCGCAACTGGCCGGTGTGTTCGCTTCTTAGCTGTTGTGGATGCTCGTGCAAAACCAGCACCTCGACCAACTTGCAATAAATTGTTTTCTGATCTAACGTTAACTTTTCAAAACCAAAAACCCTCAAACGAACACCGCTCATCTCTTGGGCACAAGTTGTGTTGACGCTTCTCTGGTCTCCCGTTGATCCTCGGGCATCACTCTTATGATAGTGGCCAAGTTGTACCCAGCATGCAGTTCGGAGGGGTCACTTTATAAATGTATTATTAGTGTTACAAATGTTTTATCCTGTAAAGTGTTGTGCGTTATTCATTGTTGTAAAATGTTGACTCAATCTCAACACACGTAACACAAGTAGCTGCGACCGCTGTGGACACAGCGGTGAGGTATAAAAATAATTTCTGCGGCCTCCCGAATAGAAACATTTTCCAATTGTTACGACTTGACACCGGTTGAACCGGTTCACCGCCCTGCCTCACATAATGTATTTAATAATATACTTTGCCAGTTTATTAGTGACACCTACCTACAACAAATTCAACCTAATATCACGTTACGTTTATGAAGCAGAACAAGGATCTGTGAGTGTAATAAACACTTTTGACTATTAATGTACAACATGTGCTGGTCAAAACCAAAACGTAGCCAGCTTCAGATAAACAGTTTGTCCTCAGAATGCTTCAACAATAGATTTAAAAATAAGTTAAACCACAGACTAAATAAATGTCCCCTGACTATTAATAACCAGAAAAGCCCTTTGGAAGACATATGATTCCAATCAAAGATGTGGCCGACGGCGGCTGCCACGGTGCGCTTTGTTAAGAAGCCCAGGATCACAGGACTCAATGACTACAGGCCCGTCGCCCTGACTTCTGTAGTCATGAAGTCTTTTGAACGGCTAGTCCTGACCCACCTGAAGTCCCTCACCGACCCCCTCCTGGACCCCCTGCAGTTCGCCTACAGAGCCAACAGGTCTGTGGACGATGCTGCCAACATGGCCCTCCACTACATCCTCCAGCATCTGGACTCCCCAGGAACCTACGCCAGGATCCTGTTTGTGGACTTCAGCTCTGCCTTCAACACCATCATCCCGTCTCTGCTGCAGGACAAACTCTCCCAGCTGCACCGCCCGACTCCACCTGCAAGTGGATCACTGACTTCCTGTCTGACAGGAAACAGCACGTGAAGCTGGGGAAACATGTCTCAGCCTCTCGGACCATCAGCACCGGTTCCCCTCAAGGCTGCGTTCTTTCCCCTCTGCGCTTCTCCCTGTACACCAACAGCTGCACCTCCAGGCACCAGTCCGTCAAGCTCCATTGAAAGACAATGTCCTGACTCCACCCCCACAGCTCCATCAACCTGCGGTCTTCATCCTCCAGCATCTGGACTCCCCAGGAACCTTCGCCAGGATCCTGTTTGTGGACTTCAGCTCTGCTTTCAACACCACCATCCCATCAACCCAAGAGGTTGTTCTTCCTGAAGCAGCTGAAGAAATTCAACCTGCCAAAGACGATGATGGTGCACTTCTACACGGCCATCATGGAGTCCATCCTCTGCTCCTCCATCAGCGTCTGGTACGCTGCAGCCACAGCCAAGGACAAGGGCAGGCTGCAGCGTGTCGTCCGCTCTGCAGAGAGGGTGATCGGCTGCAATCTGCCGTCCCTGCAGGACTTGTTTGCTTCCAGGTCTCTGAAGCAGCTACAAAGATGGTAGCCGACCCCTCTCACCCCGACAAAAACTGTTTGTGCCCCTTCCATCTGGCAGGAGGCTGAGGTCCATCAGGACTAAGACCTCCCGCCACACCAACAGTTTCTTCCCGTCGGAGGTTACTCATCAACAGAGCCGGTCCCCCACTGACTGATATTCCACCTTTCTTTCACACTCCACATACAGTTGTCGCTTTCTGTTGGCTGGTGCACTTTATTTAGAACTTTTAATTTTGTTGTTATTGTACTATGTTGTCTTATCTGTCTTGTCTGATGTCATGCACCAACCGCTAAGTCAAAACCTTGTATGTCTGACATGTTTTGGTAATAAATGTTCCTTGAATAGGACGCGGTTAAAAGGACGGGGCAGGAGCTCTGAGCTTCTAGTACGGCTGACGAGGGGGGTTGGGCGCATAGTACGGGGTCGCACTGTTGTGGACGATGGGGGGAACGAATCAATATAAAAGAAGCCGAAGCGACCGTGCATTTGTGAGGACCGTTCTGTAATTCTCACAATAAATAATAAATAAATAAATAAATAAATAATAAAAGTCATCCGGCAGGGCCGCTTTGGCGGCGGGCCGCACTGGACGCCCCGGCAGGCCGGATTTGGCCTGCCGGGGCTGCGAGTTTGAAAAGTTCCTTGTTTGATCCATTAACAGCCTTTTTATCCAAAGAACCTGTTCGTAAGAAGAATTCCCTTAAGGAATGGATCCGCGGACATAAGGGTTTTCTGGAGCGCCTCCTGGCTGTGTTCTAGTGGAAACCCTTGGCATGTAAAAGAACATGGTTCCGAATGGATTCTCCTACCTGGGACAGTGGGTTCCTCCCATGGGCCCGATGGGTTATTCAATGAGGACCAGCCTTGGAACCGTATTTGGTGCTGATTAGTACCTTATTTATTCAAAGACTTGTTGATGATGCTGTGGGGCTAAGGAGGAGACCCCGAGGCCACCATCTGTTTTCCTTCTCTAGTGAAACTCTAAACATGTGGGCAGATGTTTGGGAATGGGGGGGTCAGAGGTCTGTATTTGGGATTAGGGTGTGCCCCCGCCACACACCAGCACAACAGCTCCACAAACCCTGCAATCAATCACCCTTTGTGGGTTGTGCCCATAAATGAGAGCCCCCCAATTCAGCCGGAGAGCAGAATTATTAGCGACTCCTCCCGTTTGTATGAGTTAGCTGCTACTTAACTTTAGTAGAGACATGCAGCAAAGAACCCTTTTTATACACTCACAGCCCACTCAGAGGTCAACCCACGGCCCGACTCCTGGACTGACCCCTGGGACGCAAACTAGCTTAGCATTAGCTCCACTGGGACCTTAGATTAGCTCTGTTTACAGCGTTTTTTACTTCTCGTTCCCAACCTGAATTATTGAGGTTATTGATCTCCTCATTTATTGATCCACTCAGTGCAGTTATTTTTCACCCCGCGGTAAATAAGTCGTGTGTGTGTGTGTGTGTGTGTGTGTGTGTGTGTGTGTGTGTGTGTGTGTGTGTGTGTGTGTGTGTGTGTGTGTGTGTGTGTGTGCTAGCTCGTCTCTTTCTGTCTGTGCCTGTGGTGTCTTAGTGATCAGTTCTTCTCTCACATGAAGCCTCCAAAGAGCATCTGAGGCCTTTGACTCCAAAGTGGAGCCAAGGAAGTGCTAAATGTTTCTGTCTGCAGCCGGAGGGTCCGACCCGCTCAGCCGGAGCTCCAGCTGCTCACACACACAAACACACACACACTCTAAAAGCAGGAGGAAGTCAGGCAGCATTTACCTCTGTGTGTGTGTGTCCTTCAGTTGTTGTGTGTTGTGGGTCGAGTCTTCAGCGAGCTGCAGGTCTCAGGACTCATGTCTGTGTGTCTCTTTGTCTCCTGAAGCTGCTATGCGTCCTCTGGTCTCCGGTGGAACGTCTCTTTACTGTCCATGCGATGGAGTCCCCTCGTAGACTCCGTTGTCCCGGGACATGGTTCAGCACACTGAGCGCAGAGAGTCGGAGTCCTTTTCTTCTTCTCTCTCTTGTTTTTTCTGGGCTTGGCCCCGCCCACTTCTGATGTCACTCCTTTGGAAACTAGAGAATAACAGCGCTGCCTCATTTAGTTCTTCATCCTCCACAGTGATCTTTAATCCAAACCCACAACCCCCCGCTTTCCTTCCGCTTGTTGCTGTTTCCACTTTAATTCAGTAAACCTTCATTTAATCCGATCGCTGCTTCCTCAGGAGGTTTGAAGTAAAACGTCAAATGCCCGTTGATTTCCTGCATAAAATGTGACGTTAATTGAAAAGTTGCATTTCTTTAATTGTGATGATAACTTGTGTAAACCTGATCTGAGAGCAGTTCAGCAGAGGATTGTGATGCTGCAGAGGTCTCTGGGCTGCTTCCTGTTCAGCTTCAGCTCCAGGCGGAGCTCATCTGGTGTTCATCTTCTGTGTGTGTGTCTGCTGGATGCATCTGGGTCTAGATGAGTGACACCATAGAGAGGCTTCTGTTCTGAAGCTTGTTCATCTGTCGTCTTTACCTTTTTATATTCACATTGATGTAATATGAGACGCTGTCTGATGGATCTGTTTCAGGAATGTACCTGTCCGACCTGACCTACATAGACTCCGCCTACCCCTCCACGGGCAGCATCCTGGAGAACGAGCAGCGGTCCAACCTGATGAACAACATCCTGCGAATCATATCGGACCTGCAGAGATCCTGCACCTACGGTGGGCCGTCCTCCGTATAATGTCTATATATTCAAGTCTCGCGTAAAATCATTCTTTAAAGTTTGACGTTACTAGTGATTTGCCTTCTAGCTTCCATCAGTCATCTCTAGATGATATTTGTCGTCTTCTGTCAGATGTTGCGGTGTTGCCTCACGTGCAGAAGTATCTCAACTCAGTGCGGTACATCGAGGAGCTGCAGAAGTTTGTGGAGGACGACAATTACAAGTAAGCAAGCTGGAGGGTGATGCTCGTCTTTATCATGTGCATCACTCAGCACGACGGGAGCTGATGAGTTTGTTCCTTCAGGTTGTCCCAGAAGATCGAGCCTGGCAGCAGCACGCCGCGGGTAAACCCCCCCAGAGAGGGTAGGTCAACAAGGCTGTTACTCCTCAGCCTGGTACTCAGTCACTTACCCCCCTGCCCTCCCCCACCAGGCCAGGAAGCGTCGGCGTCTCCTCTCCGCGCCCGTAAATGTTCCATAAAAGGGTGAAGGAAACAAAGTCCCG